AATACGAAAAGCTTTCCATATAGAAGGAACAACCGGATCAAAACTTACTTTGTGGAGTAAATGACTAACCCAAGAATCACCACTGCGAAGGCAAGAAAGTAGAGCCAGTCCACCTGCAATGTTCTCAAAGGCTTGTAACCAAATGCTCAAACCTAACTCCTACCGGCGGTAGAACGTTGTAGACAATGACACCATTACTGACCTTCTGATGGTAGAAAATAGTTCGGATTACAACAGCCCACATGTTACTAGACAGGCAAGAGAGATTCAGCATGGTGGCTCCACTCAACTGTTCAAGACAACAAAACAGATCATCCCAACTAGTGAGCACCATGCCTGGCTGGCAATCTAAAAGCGTCGCATTCACTATGACAACGACGGAGGACCACAAGTAAAATTCAGTACCTTGAGAACGTACAGACCAATAGAGGATTGGCAAAAAACTGAGAGGGTGTAGCCAATGATGGCCCATATCTGAATGCATATAAAGCAAACAAGAACAGGTAAAATATACATCAGAGGATAGCATCTGTGATGTGATTGATAAGTTACTCACCATATCAATGGACCAGTTCAAAGATTCTAGACCCTTCAGCTCAAATACAGCTCTACAGTAATTAACAAGGTAGTCATGGAAAACTTCGTCTGAACCCTATGAGGTCCCCTTCTGAAGAGATCACTTACTACGAATTTGAACCATATTTCCTGGATAATTAAGCGAGGCCAGTTCCTACTGCAAGGATACAGCTCAACCAAACTGCATAGCAACCCAAAAACATTGATCATCGACAGCATCTCCATCTCAATCTGTCCTCCGTCTTTCACAATGAACTCCTGAAATGTAGGGAGATGTAAAAAGGGAGTTAATCTTGCAATTCTAGTGGCATGTCACTTGTAAGAAAGGAGAGCATCATAACCTCGCCAACGTTGGCCAATGCAAAGAAGATTGTTGCACCAATAACCAGTGCATCACCAAGAAGAGGCATTGAGCTTCCTGCAGGGTTAGGATACGCCATTAATGTTGACGAAGGGTAGAAAAATGGTACATCAGGAATAGTTTTACCTCCTCCGCTATCCGTCCAAGCATCAGATAAGATCACCAGAACAAGGCCAAGAACACAAAGCGCTGAACCAACCAACTGCAGGATCGAATAGCGGGTGCCCAGCACCAGCCAAGTGAGAATAATGACCCATGGTATCGACCAGCATACCAGCAATGTAATACTTGTAATTGAGGAGAACTGGTACGCTTTGTTCACTGACACCACAGTAATTGGCACCAAAGTCGTTAGTGTCTTGTTTGCAGTAATCATCAGATTCATGAACTCGGTTCTACCCAGTTGGACATTTTGATGTAAAAGACTGATAAAAAGAAGTGACTTACACAGAAAATTCGCCTGCACATCCAGAAATCCCAAGAGGAGATACCAATACCAAGAAACCTGCAGATTCCAATGTTCAGGAGAGAATCCGAAGATCTATTAATGCCAAGAAACACAAAATATATTTTGTTGACTAGCTATGTTCTGTTACCAGTAGCGTATGGCGTCGGTGGAGCAGTATGCTACCGTATATCAGTGCCAAACTGAAGTAACTGAAGCATCCCTGAGCTACTGGAGCATCGACACCTGCTCCATCATTTTCAGAAACAGAATTAATATGACACTTGAATGAACGGTAAGGAGAACTTATCCGGTTAATTGAATGCAGACCCAGAGAAACTAGGAGGGAAGAATTGAAGCCAGCAAGCGCAACGGTGAAAGAAACAGCCTGACCCAACACCATTGCCCACCATGTCCTCTTCTTCATTCTCCACCGATCCATAGCTTTCGCAACATTAAACTGCAAGTACTTTCGTAATGATTTTGAGTGGGAATAAAATGAGTGATTGACATGCTAATCAAGAGGGGGCCGCTGACCAGACAAGAAATATCAACTGAAAGATTTGTGTGGCCTAAGATAGATCTCTGGTTCAAATAAAGCCAATCCGACATATTAACTAAGCATTCTTGATCACTCGTTTCTGGGTCCACATGAAGAACAACGAAAAAAAACTGACCACGTGCACAACATGGAGAAAGTCAGCAAAGGGAAGAGAAAACTCCTCAAGCAAACAAGAAGTGTGTTCGATGAAATTTTTACAGAGTGCTCAATGAAAATTTGCTCACACATTTTATCCCAGCCAGGTTCATCTATTCCCCTGCACTTCAAAACCCAGAAGAGCCTGGCAACCAGATTTGAAATTGATAGGATTTTTGAAGAGACTGGCAACCATACCTGAAGAGACTTCAGTAGAGTTTAATAGTTATTGAAATGATGGCTAGCTTAGAAGACTGGTATTTAGAGTGAATAGACTGGCAACCATATCTGAAGAGACTTCTGTATAGATTTATTCGAAAAGATGGCTAACTTAGAAGCCTGGTGATTTGGAGCTGAGCATTCCTTTACAACAAGGCTTCTGAATGACATTATGCTTCTATCTTTGTCAAAAGAATGCAAGGCAGACTCTAATCATCTTCGACAATTTCTCTGTTTTGTAATTTCTAACTACTGATACTGCGGATGTCCGTTGAGTAGTGATACTGATGAGGTCCTGAACCCGTTTCATGGAACTAAACATTGATTTCCAGCAGCAACTGCCTCTGGATTTTCATCAACAACTAGCCGTTGGCATTCTGAACTCAAATTCTCACTGTCTACTTCATGCTTAGAGACTGGGTCCTTCTCACTGTTAAGAGTCAAAACGAGTCGCTCACTACTAACACGTTGCACAAGCATCTTTCATAAGAAGAAAAGCAGATCAGAACTTACTTTATGGCGTAAATGACTAGCCCAAGAATCACAACTGTGAAGGCAAGGAAGTATAGCCAGTCCATCTGCAATTGATAGTCTCAAAGCCATCACTTTGATGACTGCTGCAATTGCTACCTCAAAACCATATGCACAAACAGACACTATAAGTCTATAACTAACCTTCTGTTGGTAGAAGAAGGTTCGAATAACAACAGCCCACATATTGCTAGTGAGGATGGAGAGATTGAACATTGTGGCTCCACTCCACTGCATAAAACACAATTCCTGCTGATCTATGGAAGCTGTCTTTGATGTGAGAATGATGAAGACCATAAGGAAAAAGATACCGATACCTTGAGAATCCAAGGAATCATGGAGTATGAACAAAACATCGAGAGCGTGTAGCCAGCAATTGCCCATATCTGAAAGCACATACAAGCAAAATGGGGTTTATTTGTAAGACATAAATGAGAGTTTGGGTGAAAATATAGTTACATTACTCACCATATCTACAGACCAGTCCACTGACCCTAGACTCCGCAACTCAAATGCAGATCTGCAATAACGTAGTTATGGAAAACTCGTTTGAACCAAAGGTGCCTTTCCCTTGAAGAAACCACCAAGAATGTGATCAAAAGGATACAGCTCCACCAAACTGAATAGAAACCCAAAAACTCCGAGCATTGACAACATCTCCATCTCCATCTGACCTCTGTCCTTCACAATGAATTCCTGCAAATTTCAACAGAGAAGTGAAGTACAAAAATGGGGTGATGGAACAATCTAGAGAAAAGAAACGACAGCTTCCAATTACCTGACCAACATTGGAGAAAGCAAAGAAAATCGATGCCCCAATCACTAGCGTGTCGCCCAGAAGAGGCATCGAGCCACCTGCAGAGTTGGGAAACATGTCATTAGTCCTACATGAAGATCAACTAGAGAATAAAACGGAACATCAAGAGTGATCATCTTCTTTTTTTCTTCACCTCCACCGCCATCAGCGTCTGATAAGAGAACTAGAGCAAGACCAACTACACAAAGCGCTGAACCAACCAACTGCAGGATCGAATAGCGGGTGCCCAGGAACACCCTAGTTAGAATGATGGCCCATGGTATGGTAAAGCAGACCAACAGTGTGACACTGGTAATTGACGAAAACTGGTACGCTTTGGTCCCTGAAAAAATCACAGTAGCACGCAGAACTAATTCTCTGATTACTGAATCCAAAGGGGAATTGCAGGAACTGGGTTGTTCTCAATCATTACAAATTCGAGCTAAGAATAGAAGGAAACTAGAGCTTAAGCTGCGTACGTAGAAAATTGGCCTGCACTTCCAGAAATCCGACTAGGAGATACAAATACCAAGAAACCTGCAGTTTATGGCGCCTGTGAAGCAGAATGCCGCCGTAAACCGTGGCTAAACTGAAGTAACCGAAGCAGCTCTGAGTTACAGGCGCATCAAAACCTGCCAAAACGAGACTATTCAGTACAACAACAGACCGGGGGGAAAAAGAGCTGCCAAAATGAACAGTAACCCAAGAAAGTCGGCAAGGAAAAATACTGGAGAGTTGTGTACAGACCCATAGTGGCTAGGAGAGAGGTGCTGAAGCCGCTGAGAGCAAGGAATAGCGAAACTGCCTGACCCAACAACACTGCGCACCATGTTCTCCTCTTGCTGCTCCACCACCCCATGCCTTTACGATATCACGTTCTATCTTTTGGGTGAATCGAGGCAATTAATCGAACAGAGACTCAGAGAGCAAGGAAGATCAAAGAGATGTTGAGACTTCAGTTCAGTGGGTGGGGGTAGCTAGCTCTCTGTTTGAGATGCAACCCGCCGGATAAATTTAGCATGTGGGTGGGACCAAGGTCAGTGGATTCCAGTCGTCTTCTTTTTGTCATTATCGGTCAATCGCGTACTGAAGTTGGGCCTAGCCTAGCATTATTAATACGACTGGACCCTTTCAGGTTGTGGGCCGGTTTACGACATTTCGGCCTGATGATGGCTGAGACGAGATAATGAGAACGATCTGTAGAAAGAAAGTCTGAGACGAGATAAAGAAACTACACCTTCCAAACCTCTCGTTCATCGGCTAATATTACATAGTTACATTCCATGTTTTAGTTTTACCACGCAGATTCAAGTAAATCAACTGGAAGTTTAAAAAACCAGCAAAATTAACCGACAGTAAATTCCCACTCATCAAATTAAACGAGCTTAGGATCCACTTCAACTCTTGCGACGCCTTCCCTGCCTTCCGCCGCCTTGGCCACCTCCACCTCTCCGACCACAATCCCGGCGACGTCGCTCCTCTCCCCCCTCAGGATCCTCTCTTCCTCCTCCTCATCCACGTAGTTGGGATCCTTCTCGTCGATCGCGGCGGGGACGGGCTCCATCTCGTTCTCCGCCAGGTCACCGGGACCCTCCCACGTGTACTTCCCGCCGTGGCCGGACTTGGGAGGCGGATTCTTGATCCCGATGCCGTCCACCGGATGGCGGTCCATCCTGTGGACACCTTTGTCCCTCAGCTTCTTCTCGACGTGCTTGATGGTGTCGATGTTGTGGGTGGACAGCTCCGTCTTCTCCACCCGCTTCCGGCCTTCCTCGTCGTGGCTCACCGCCCGTATCACCACCTTGTCTTCCTTGTCGTTGATCGGCTTCATTTTGTTATCCCGGCGAATGTATATTTCGAATTCTGTCTCAGCTTGGTTAGGTATCGGATCGGGGTGCTATGAGAGGCTTTATAAGGGTTCAACGAGCGGTTCAGGAATCTAGAAATTGCTGGACAAGTGAAGAAGAAATTGAAGGGGCCGCTAGAAGGTTCAGGGTGGCGATGACTGTCCGGTGTGAGTGCCGCGTGTCTTCTAGTAGCCTTGAGAAATGAGGAGAGAAGCACTCTCTATTTCCTCCCCTACTGGGTTGTGTGAATTGGATCGGAGGTTCGCTCCGAAAGACGCACAGCGGCCATCAAAAAAAAAAATTGGATCGGAGGCCCATTTTTTGGGCCTTTTCCTTGACACCTCTTATTGAAGTTGAGCCCGAAACCAAAACGTGATTGTTTTTCCAACAAATTTTCTTTTTCTAAAACAAAATCAAACAAGTATTGAACGAGGGTTTTTCCAACAAAATAAAAGAATGATCGTTCATCATGATTTTCTGAATTCAATTGGATTTTGGCTCGACTGAATGTTTTCTTTGAAATCGGATTTTGATTATATACTACATTTTCATTCATATTTATATTATACTCTTCAATTCATATATAACTAACTATAATATTAAGAAAGAAATCGAAAAAACACAACACATATTCGAATTCATTCATATGAACTTCATAAAAACCATGCAATGCTAACCAATATTTGTCTATAATAATAATGTTACTGAAAACAAACGACCTAGACAACGTCAAATTCCAGTAGTGTTGGGGGTGCTCTTGATTTGAACTCTAATGCACGCTCTTTTGCTATTTGAGCTTGTTGCTCTGTGCAAAACCGGTTGTAAGTTCCACCAAAACCTGGTATAGTCAACCCTCTGTCGAGAACTAACTTCTCCATCCCGATGAAATACTCGAAAGCATACTCAACAAACTCACAATCAAGGTAGAAGCCATTGAACCCAACAATCTCGACCTCTTTGATGCTCGTCCTTTTCACTTTATTCACCACGGGAGCCTTCCACAGTCTTAGGCTTTTGCCTTTCGACATGGTCGTAGCCACCTACATCAGAAACAATCAAACAAATTAGGAAGATTATACTAAATCGGAAAAAAAAAACATAAGAGCTAGCCTAATACGAACATGTAAGAAGTCGTTCATCTTGTTTAAAAAAACAAAAAACAAAAAACCGTATGCATTGTGATTCCTCGTTATAAAAAGAAACTCAATAAGATAATGGGGATCCTAATATTGATCGATTTACCTTAACTCTCAATGTGTGCAGACGAGGACACGCATTTATCCATGTACTCCAGCCTAGGATGCTTATGTCGCCTTGCGCAGGAAGATTTTGTAATGTTAGCCGCTCCAGGCAAGTCAATTCAGCCAGATTCGAAGGAAACCTAATCACTGACTACAACAAACGAATAAACATGCAGTTAGTGAGCAAATTAAATGAAAGAAAAGTCCAGTTCGAATTATTGGAATCAACATATTCTCGCTCGCAGCGAGCAAGGAATGGCTACTTACGGGGCTCATTTTCACCGTGAGGGATTGCAGCCGACCAACGTAGGGAGAGAGGGAGCGGAAAGCAAACTCAGGCTTGCAAAAATCAAACCCTAGTGTCAACTCCACGAGACGGGCACAATTGTTGTGCACCCGCAATTCCTTCGTTCCATCATCTTGGCCATGGTAGTGCAGGTGAGTGAGCCCTGGAGCATCGTCGATCTGCAGCACTTTCATCGGCTTGCATCTGCTTACTTCCAAGTATCTCAACGCCCGAATCCGTCGCAGCCTGAGACTCACTAGAGAGTGTGATTTGTGCAGGACCAGATGTTCGAGCAAGGGACAGTTAGCCGCGAAATGCTCGACCACCTCTCCTCGTACATCAACGAAGCTCAAGCTCAAGGATCTGAGGAGCTTGATGTCGGACGTCCGAGTCTTCTTGATGCGATCGAAACAAGCCTCGGGGAAAACGTAATGGTAACGGCTGTCGGTGAAGTAGAACAGCTCCAGGGACTCGAGTCTCTTTGACATGAACGCGAACTCGAGCCATCGATCCATGTCCCCATCGGAGTTGCACTCTTTCTCCAAGAAGAACTGGACTCGAAACTTGTTGATGATCGGTTTGGAGGCACCATCGTGAAGCTGCCTCAAGACTCCGTTGACCCAGTTGATGTACCAACGCCTTTTCTCCTGCACCCATGCCTCCCTCTCCTCGTTGCTCGAGTAAGGCGGATTGCGGGAAGCAATAGCATGAAATACTTCTCCGGCGTCGAAGTCGAGAACCGTGACGGACGATTTCCACAAGTTTGTCCACCTGCTCGACAGGACCGAAGTGGCGGCTGCTTCTTTGAGGGTCAACATGGACACGACTCTTCCGAGGATGTCATCCGGCAATTCACTAATCCGGTCAACATCGATAATGCCACGGCTATTGTTGCGGTTTAATCGTGAGTCATCTTCGGCCGCCATTGTTTCTTGGTGACCGGCGGCGGATCTTTCTTTCCCTATTTTGTGTTCTGTAGTTACGGATCGGAGAGAGCACCTTTGGTTTTATATTGAGCGAGCGAACGAGCGATCAATCATGGTGGTGACAGAAACATATCTATATGTAACCCTAGCTAAGCTTATTAGATTGAGATAGCTAACCCCGTTTAGCTAGCGGGCAAGAGTCTTTCCTTTTCCTTCTCGACCACCATCTAGACGCTAAAATAATATTACTTTTACGGTTTTACTTTTATCCTAAGTTAATCATGTGCTCCGTTTTTAGTTTAGATGCTATTTTGTGATATTTCAATGATCTCAAAGGATGTTTATATACTTTAAAAATAACTAAAATAAAAAAAATTATTTTCGACCCACGCGGTCTCAAAACCTTACTCCGCCCCTGTTTTTAGTGACTAAAAATGACACTTTTTAGTAAATACAGAGACCAAACGTGAAATTTACCCTTCAGAAATAAAAACATTGAAAGAAGAATACTAGAATTTCAATAAATTGTATATAGCATTTTCGTTCTTTTCGTCAAGGTAGAAGTAAATATGTAACGAGGATTTGGTGGTCGATAAGGAAAAGGGAAAGTACGTTGGCACGCTAGGTTTATATATATGGACGTTTTCTTTCTGTCCTCAATAGAACACCGGTGCCGTGCGAATCAGTACTCTCTCTAACGAATTATATAGAGAACACAAGATAGGGAAAGAAAGATCCGCCCGCGGCCACCGAGAAAGAATGGCGCCCGACGGCTCTGGATTGAGCCGCAGTAGTAGTATCGATGTCGACCGGATTAGCGAATTGCCGGATGAGATCCTCGGCAAAGTCGTGTCCATGTTGACCCTCAAAGAAGCAGCCGCCACTTCGGTCCTGTCGAGCAGGTGGAGGAAGTTGTGGAAATCGTCCGTCACGGTGCTCGACTTGGACGCCGGAGAAGTGTTTCGTGGGATCGCATGCCTCAACCCGCCTTACTCGAGCGACGAGGAGAGGGACACGTGGGTGCAGGAGAAAAGGCGTTGGTACATCAACTGGGTGAACGGAGTCTTGAGGCAGCTTGAGGATGACGATGGCTCAAGTCCGGTCATCAGCAAGTTCCGAGTTCAGTTCTTCTTGGAGAAAGAGTGCAACTCGGGTGGGGATATGGATCGATGGCTCGAGTTCGCGTTGATATCGAAGAGAGTCGAGTCCCTGGAGCTCTTCTACTTCACCTACAATCGTAGTCACCATTATGTTTTCCCCGAGGCTTGTTTCGATCACATCAAAACTCGGGCATCCGACATCAAGCTCCTGAGGTCGCTCAGCTTGGGTTTCGTGGACGTACGAGGAGAGGTTGTCGAGCATTTTGTTGCCAACTGTCCTTTACTCGAACGGTTGGTTGTGTATCACTCGCATTCGCTTGTGAATCTCAGGCTACGACGTATTCGGGCGCTTAAGTATTTGGAAGTGAACAGATGCGAGCCGCTTAGAGTGCTGGAGATCGGGGATGCTCCTAAGCTCACTCACTTGCACTACCACGGCGTCGATGATCCAACGGAGGAACTGATGGTGCACAACGACTGTCACCGTCTTGTGGAGTTGACTTTAGGGTTTGATTTTTGCAGCCCTGAAATGGCTTTCCGAGCCCTCTCTGCCTATGTTGGTCGGGTGCGGACGCTTACCCTGAAAATGGCCACGGTGAGTGGATCGTGAGTTCAAAATATGTTTTCATTTCAATAACTCGACTCGAATTATTAGGTATAAATTGTAGATTTCCCTTTATGTTTCCTTACTAACAGTTGCATGCTTGTCTATTTGTTTGTTGTAGACGGCAATTATGTTTCCTTCGAATCTGGCTGAACTAACCTGCGTGGAGCGGCTGACATTGAAAAGTTTTCCTACACAAGGTCACAGAAGCATCCTTGGCTGGACTACCTTGATAAATGCTTGTCCTCGCTTGCACACATTGAGAGTTTTGGTAAGTTAATTAAGTTCTGGGGATTGTTATCATCATCTTGATTTTCTTTTCTTTTTATGTCGCAGTGATCGATCGATCATGATTCATGTGACATGCGGTCTTTTGTGTTAGAGTCGTTTAAATGATCGATCGACTTCTTATTTGTTTCGTATAACTTGGCTAGCTTTTACTTTTCACTATAGCTTGATCAATTGTTTTGGATGTAGGTGGTTACGACCATGTCGCAAGAGAAAAGTCGTCTCTTACGGGAGCCTGCTGTGGTGAATAAAGTGAAAAGGACGAGCATCAAAGAGGTGGAGATCGTTGGGTTCAATGGGTTCGACCTCGATTGTGAGTTTGTTGAGTATGCTTTCGAGTATTTCATCGAGCTGGAGAGATTTGCTATTGATAGAGGTTGACCATACCTGATTTTTGTGGAGTTCACAATTGGTTTTGCACAGAAGAACAAGCTCATATAGCCAAAGAGCGTGCACTGGAATTCAAAATAAGAACGCCTCCAACTCTGCTTGAATTTGTCATAATCTGATTCACCGTTCTTCTTGTTACTAGTATTGGTAACGAATGCATTTTTTAACAAGCTTTTGGTGAAACATATGAATACTTTTTTTTTTTCCTTCCATCGTGCCACTATCTTTCCGAATAAAGTACATATTCTCAATGTTAAATTCAAAATTCATAACAATATGCATTCTAAAATGACGTAAAAGAAAATAGTACTATTTGCTATTCTCACTTTGTCATCCCTAATTCCACTATGTAGAAACTTGGTAGAACTCCATTTATATTAACCACAAAGAATCATGCATGCATGTCCTACTAACCAAACGTCATTGTCATTTCCTAAAGATACCCAACGAGAAATAGAATTTTCACTATCCGAAGCGTCAGGCGCTCAGCCTCCAACACCACCATCATTATGATATCCGCCAGCCTTTCCAAATTCAATTAATCCTAATCACCAGGGTGGATGATTAACTGTTAATCCAATCAGAGCTTCCGGAATCCCACCATAAATAACCACGTACGCTCCTCAACCAAGCCCAAGGGCCAACTCTCACATCCTGAAACACAAACAGGGGAACAGAGTGTTCTCTCGATCTGTAGGCATGCAAGCAAATCTGAAGCTGAAGGCAACCTTGCCTCGAAAATCCAAGGACGAAGAGAAGGAAGTCGAACTGAACTTGGACCTTTCATGGCTAGCCAATCTCATCAACATCGTCGGGCCAGTTGTCGTAGCACCTAAGAGGAAGCTTCTGGTGCTGGGGCTTGCCGGGTTGCTCTGCGAACCGGTCATGAAACGTGGAAACTCGTTTCGAACCTTCAAGGGTTGGATGCTGAAAGGACAGAATCCTGCCGCAACTGTTTACGCCACTTGGCCTAACGACGCTGGCCACGAGAACTTTGTAGGTACGTATGTACGTAAGTTCATTTGTAGGTACGCAGGGGAGGGGGGTTTTTTTGGTCTTGTTTGCCTATTCATTTTTGTAACGTCAACTGTTTCCTAATTCGTCAGTTTACAAAAGGCCTCACTGCCAGGAGTTCTTGAAGTTCTGCCTTGAAAGGTTCGACGTGGCAATCTGGTCAACTGCTGAGAAGTAAGTCGATGTCCTGATTCCAAGTTAGAAACGATTGAGGTAGCTAGGGTTTTGTTGGTGAACTGTCTAATGAAATTGATGATGGCATAGATGGTACACAGACAATGCTCTGGACTGTGTGATGAGCGGTTTGAAGATGAGTGACTTCTTGTTCATTTGGGTGAGTACTTAATTATGATTAATTACCATGATATAATGTATTCTTGTTTGTTCAATATAACACACTACACATGATTATATTAATGTAACACGACTCTCAGAATAGAGAAGAGTGCAAGAGCTCGGGATTCAAGATGCTGAACAATAACAACGAATCCATATTCCTGAAAGAGCTTAACAAGGTTTTCCAGAAGCGTTGGGGCTTAGATAACGCTCAGTATTCCGCGTCGAATACAATCATGATGGAATCCGAGCCATACACAGCGCTTCTGAATCCTGTAATTACAAATCACATTTTCCTCCATTTCAAATTCATAAATGTCATAGTACCATCATCTTAGGATTTCAGACTTCCTTAATTATCATTTCCTCTTGCTGGTTTAATTTATCGTTGATGTAGCCAAACACGGCAGTGTTTCCTCCAGTGTACAAGTTTGAGAACGTGAAAGACAATGTGCTAGGTAATTAAGAACATTATTATACTAAATTCAAGTCCCTTTCTCTTTGGTTGTCTCTTCTTCCTGTTGATTTTGAGTATATAACTCTTCATGTTTTTTTATTTGCAGCTGCAGGAGGCGAACTGTCTATGTTCCTGCACGGGCTGGCGAGAGCTGGTGACGTTCCTTCGTACGTGAATGCCAATCGATTTGGGCAGCCAGCTATAACACATTCTCATCCTAACTGGGCTCACTACAGAAAGATCATCCTTGCTCACGACAGCAAAAAGAACTAAATACTATCAGCGTTAGCCTATATAGGCTTTGGTCTCTTTTAATTTCTATTATCTTTCGTGCATGTTTCCCTGTTTTTGCTGGACTACAAACCCACATGGTGGCTGCTTTCCATTTCTTTGTCCAATTTCCTGTGTTTACCAGTGTGTTTCAGTTTAAAAATCGATCCTCTTTCATTTTCAGTTATGAATCATCCATTTCCTGTGATTTTTTGGGAATTGTATAAAATTCTCTATATGCACATGGTAAAGATTCATAATGTAATGTAGGTAAGGAAAGTGTAATGCGTCATCTGAGACACGAATCACACAGATGCATTGCCTTCGTTCTAGTCTATGAAAAGATGCGAACTAATGAGTATGAACATACATGAAACCTCAGAATGCCTAAAGAATTCATGCTAATCATGTCATGCAAGTTCTCTCCAAATCACAGCAAATAAAACCCCTGCATATGAAAGTATTGGTTCCCTGTCAAGTCAGGAACAGAACATCTGAACATGTAAAGCAGTACAGCAAAAAGCTACTACTCCACAAACAACCACAACATTTGACTACAAGAGGAAATAACAAGTTGTGATGAGGT